GTATCGTAGTCTTTGAAACTGAAGTGTGTCAATGATTTTGACGAGAAGTGGGTGTAGCTCCACAAGACCGTGGATGGGATCATTAAGCACCTGTTGGAAGACCATAGGACAAAAATATTTACCAAAGATTACACTGTTTTCTTCGAGAAAAAACTAAAAAGAAAATACAGAAAAAAGTCTAAATTTGGATGTTTCCTTTAAAAAACAGGTCAAACTGTAAATAATGTTGATATCAATAATCGGTACCTTTACAGATCGTAATTTGTTCTTTGCGATGTGTGACGTGATATTGACATGATGCTGTCATGTCAATATGGACCAAAGTCTCTGAGGAATGTTTCCAACACCTTGTTGAATCTACGACACCCTGGACAAGTCGCCAGTCCATCACAGGGCTTTTACAATTAATCACACCCTTAAAATACTATTCAAGATAAGAAACACGTATTACAGGAAAGGTGTATCACTTACCCTGGTCATGGCAAAGACCTGCAATCTGCACACAGAGGATTATTTGTTATTTGTTATTGCACTCTATTGTTTTTTAATATAGTTTCTGCAGCATTTGCTGCAAAATTTTTATTTATTACGGATGCTTTTGTTAAAAAAAAGAAAAAAAAGAAAAGAAAGGAAGGTCACAAGTAAATTTTTAAAAATTCCCAATGGGTTTTAAGGATCAGATTTTTGTCAGTCTTTCTTTTTCTTTTTTTTTAATGTTGAAACTGAAGGCTTTCTTTTCATGTGTTTTGGCGTCACACTGTTCCTTTGTGGTAGACTGATAACGGGCTTAACAAATGCTGAGTAAACACTCAGTTTTTTGATTTGGTGGTTGTGTAGAATCACTAAATGCCCTCATCTTGCACACTCTTTTGCTTCTAATGTTTTGATTGTTTTCTCAGAGAGCTGTGTGCATTTGTGCAAGTGGAGCAACAGTGCCATGAATGTATTCAATTCATATGATCTTAAATTTTCCCAGAGAGAGCATGGAAAATAGATCTGTTACGGTCAGTTCACAGACCCACGTGCAGAGCAACAAGACACAGGAGACAGATGTAAAAAATGAAATGAATTTATTTTACAGCAGGGCAAAGAAAAACACTAACCCAGCTGGTGGTATAACCACAGACGGAAAGCTAAACAAAAACTAACGATAACAAAAGACGCACTCGGAACCCGAAACTAAAACTACACGAGTGGTAATGCAGGCATGAAGCTAACTCAAACAAAAGGCTATAGAAAGTTACACAAACGAAAGCTAGGCTAGAACGGGGAACAAAAAGCGACTAAGCAAATAAGGCTCAGTGAGACACTAGGAACAAGAAGCTACACAAAAGCACACGAAGCTATAACCAGGAATAATAAACTACACTATAGAAACAAGGGATACGAAACTACACTAAAGCACACGAAGCTAGCGGCTAACAACTT